TCATCGCTCTCTTAATAAGGGACGCAATGAGGATATATGAGCTACCGGCCGATGAACCGTACACTCTGTAGTTTCTGATGAACGGCCATCGACCAACAATCTCCAAGGAAGGCTACACATGGAGAGAACAGTCTCACGAGCCATGATCAACATCATACCAACGACGTCTGAGATAAGACAGAAGTATGAACGCTCTCTGCTGTCCGATGAACCAAGGGCAGCTACACTAGAGCACTTAGAGCCGTCCCCTGACACCAACGAGGGAACACAAGAGACGTATTCATCGGATGATGATGATGATGATGATGATGACTCTCCTCGAGCATCCCCCGGCCCTTTACATACAATTTTTATCCCCTCTTCCTAAAGGGCAACCACCACCACTACCCTGGCAATCAAGGCCAAAAGGGTATTGAACATGGACGACCCAGTCCAATCCCTCACCCAGCCAGCCATCCAGAGGTCATTCTTCGGGCCTCTGGAGATGATGTACCCGAGGAACCTCACAACCAATCGCCCCTCTCCCAACAAAGAGGAGATGAAGAAATAAGAGCCACTTCGCCTCATAGCTCGCCACCACCCTTCACACACCCAAAAGCATGTGTTGCTTCTGGCATTGATAATCCTCAAGATCGTTCAGAGCGATCTCCTGTTCGTGCACAAAATCCCCCTTCGATACTTGATCTAGCGAAGGGGAAACACGTATACTTCTCTTCCTCGGCCTCTGAAGCCGAAGAAGAAGAAGAAGAAGAAGAACATGTCGCAACATCAAGAAATAGCTCCTCACTGGAGGGTTATCGAAGACTTGGTGGAAGTCCTTCAATGCCTACATTTTCACAAGGCATTGAGGGCGCCTCTGGAGCTGAGGCTCAACCTGCAGCATCCGTTGCTGCAGGGGTTACCCCTGTGGCTGATCTGGTCACAAAGGCTGAGTTCCAAGCCTTTGTAGACTCGATTCAGTGGTCCTTGGAAGACCTTAAACTCATCATACAAGAGATTGTCGACAACCGCTCATCTATTGATGTAACCCCCATTCGACAGTCCCTTGCAACCCTTGAAACCCAAACCAGAGACAACACTACCCGCCTCCAAATGTTACAACAAACCGTCACCCAACTCCATAACACCTCATCCACCTTTGCCACCCAAAGAAACCAACTTATGATGAATTCCATCGCCACCCTCACGGCCCAGGCAACTACGACTGATGAGACCTTAGCCTCCATCACCGCCCAACTTAACACCATCACCCAAACCCTTAACACCCTCCCAGCCACCATAATCTCCCAAATCCCTCAACCTAACCCACACCCAACTTCATCAATCGATGAAACCTTAGCCACCGTCTCCAACCAAATGGCCACCATCCAAACCACCCTCACCAACTCCCAGCCACTATAATAGCCCAAATACCCCAACCACCCCCACCTCCTCCACCCACCAAAATACCATCCTTCAATGATGCCCTCTCTTCCTTCGCTGCAGAGTTGAAGGACATCATCGCCAACCTTCCCATTCCTCCATCCACATCCACCTCAACCGCCGTGCCCCCACCCGCTTCATCATCAAGCACGAAGTTTGCTACCAGAGCCGATCTCAGGGTTCTGTCAAAGGCTCTTATCTCATCGTTCAATGAGATAAGTTCAAAGTTTTTGGCCAGGTCGGTTGAGCCAACAAATGCATTGAAGAAGAGTCTACTTCAATAGCAGGACCGAACGAACTCTCTTCGTCACACGCTAGAACAACGTCGCAACAGGGAACGCATACACAACTATTGGGAGCGTGAGGCTGAAGAAAAAGCGAAGAAGAGCCTCATGCTCATCTAGCCGCCCTCAAAAGAGGCCAAGGCATGAGGATCCAGACCAGGATGATCATGGTCTTGGTCCTCATGAGGGGGAGAACCCGGCTACCACTCCTCAACCAATGGAGTCTGCTGCACCATCACCACCACCTCAAACACAAGAACAACAACCACCTACAACCCAAGGAACCCAAGCGAGGGAACTAGAGGCTCAGCCCTCTGAAGATGTACACAATGTACATGTTCCCTTCGCCACCTCCCAAGAGCCCATCGAGTTGAGCTCATCAACCGATGAAGAACCATCCACACCACAAACATAAACCAACCTACCCTTCACCCCATCACTAACTCCTAACCTACCCTTAACCCCTTCACCAATACCTCTTACCACACAAACCTTCACTACCCTACCCATACAACCACAACCCACAATCATCCAACCTTCATCACCACAACAACCTAACCAACCCAGGTGCAAGCGGAAGTTCCCTCTTCATCGAGGCACCCTCCTCAAGAGGTCGTCGATGAAATCATCGCCAACATGGAGTCGCTTAGGAGACGTCCAGAGGTGCCGTCGAGGGAGCTAATCATGATGGAAAACATCCATCAATATCTATATCATGATCGTGATGAAGGTTTGACTCTCAATCCTCCAATWCTTTCACCAGAATCCATGAACCTCCTACGCCATAGGTTTGTTAGACAAACTACCCAACCATCACGGGCTGTCTTTTCAAATGATGGAATAAGGTTGGTCATGGACATCAAAATGAGGACCTTCGCCAACAAAGCCGTCAAGTACATCGAGTACACAGTGGAGCGAGCCTATGATCAAGTCAGCGTGTTCAATGACAATGACTTGATCAATCTCAATCCCTATGACTTGATCAAGCTTTATGCATACACAAATCAGCGACAGGATCAGGGAATACAATTTGGGATGGCGAACAGAGCGATCGTACAGACGCTGGAGACCTTGGTGAAGCATAGAGCCAAGAGTGATTTTGAAATTGCTCTTCGGCTTGGTATTGAAAGACTATCCTGCACTCCTCTGAATGAAGACTTCCCTGGCCTGCAGGAGAAGAGGTCTGCTTCTTTATTAACTCAACCAGAGCTTGGTCTGGTCTTCAAAAATGAGTTTGGAGCTAAAAAGTTTTTCAGACTAACTGAAGCCTTCAAGTACTCAAGTGAAACACTTGAATGGTTTCAAAAAGTCAACAGAGACAGGTTAGGCAGACCTCATGTGCCGATGGGAGAGGAACAAAGACTAATTCATGAGATCTCAGCAGTCATCCAATACAGAGGACTGTTAATGCGCTTTTGGGATATATCACAAGGGAGACCTTGAATGTAGTCTTATGTTTTGAATTGTAATTTCTTTCATTTCATCGTTGTAAGAATTCATCATTTTGTTCCAATGAAAATTTGGCAAAAGATGTTTTTCTCTAGAATAGCTTTTGTTCTTCGTTCATACTTTAAATGTTCCTAGAATAGTTAATGTTTGTTTTTTCATTACTTAGGGGGAGATTGTTAGACCCCATAAGTCTTATACATGGAAGTAATAAAGACAAACAAGTGATGAAGAACCAGAAGGCCGATGGAAGACTTCAAGTCAAAATGACTAAGTCTGAAGAACAACCAGAGGGTCGATGAACTGACCAGAGATGCGATGGAAAGTGCATCTTCATAACCCCTCTGGGTACTAACACTTGGAGTTTCCTTCACTAGTTCAACCAGAGGCAAGCGATGAAGATATGAAGATAAGGTTGAACTTATACCCCATGGAAGACAACTAGAGATGACCAATCAACAGCTGGATTCTACAAAGTTTATCTTATTTTTATGTTTATCCATGTTTAGATAAGCTTTATATGTTCGTAGAAGATTATCTAAATAGTCTCACTAGATAGTTATCTTCTTAGTTAGATTACTAGTATAAATGGGTGGTTAGGCCTATTGTAATCTTTGACTCTTACGTTTTTCATATCATTGAAATAAAGTGAAATTTTTGACACTCAAATATATTCTTAGAATGTTTATTAATTGTTCTTGAGTGTTCATCATTTTATTCATCAAAACACTATAATTTGGTTATTCTTAACTTAATTATTAGTGTTATTGAGAGATCTGGGATCAACATGGACCATAAGATGAGAACTGAAGACGTTGCACTCTCCTCCCTTGTGACTGTGCCTGCATATACTTCTTCATCTTCTCCAACTGTGCCGGTATGTGCTTCTTCCCTTGCTCAGGTGGTTAAGACTAAGTAAGGAAAACCCCCCAAAGTCTATCCCAACCACCACCACCCTTTCTTCTAAAAGAACCTCCTCACAAACCACTCTTGGTTCTCCATCGAGGGCCAAGAAAGCCAAAGAGGGGATAACAACATCTCTGGCTGTTACCTCTCAAAAGGTTCTAGCTATTGAAACCATCCTTAACCCCAAGGCACCTTCAGCTTTATCTCTTCCAATCTCTTTAGTGATTTCTGCAGTCACTGACGTACCAGTGGCTCCTATCCCAACCACTTTAGTGATCCAAATCACTGAAGGTGTGAATATCAACATAGCCACTGCTGAACACCCACTGCCACCATTGTCAGCCATCTTCTCCTCTTCTCCTTCTTTGGTCTCGTCACGTGCTCATGACTCATCAGTGATTGTCCTCGCTAATGATGAAGCACCCACCACAGGACCTGAGGTTGCTCCTCTTGAAACACCTTAGTTAATGGAAGTCTATCCTCTCGAAGGAAACCTGGAAAGAACCAGCATTAATCCTTCAGATGGTGCTGTTTCATTTCGTCTAACCCTGAGCTATCTTATGCTCAACCATCTTCTTTTTCAGGTCCTTGCGATGTAGGAATGCCAGCCATGGAAGAAGAGTATAACATGGTTGATGACGTAAAGCTGATACTCCTGACTGTAGAGACTATCTTAATCAAAATGAATCAAGTCCATAAAGGCATGCCTCTCAGGGATGACGTTTCTCTGACCTCTCAGCTGTCAAAGTTGACGTCAATGATGTGAAGGAACAACGTTTTGCGGTGCAAGCCATTGTACATACCAACACTGAGGCTATCTATGCTCTAAATAGTAAAACCGATGAAGCAAATGCTCAGCTAGCCAGGCATGGTGAGTTGTTGCAGCAGATACTGGAGCTTCTTTAATGTCTAGTACCAGTTTCTACACCCACCTTTACAGCAATGGATCGCCTCTCGCAGGATCATGCTCTCGAAGTCGGTCTTCTTCAAGCTAGATCGCCGAGCGTACTTGAAAAGCAAATGGACATCATAGCACTGAGTCTTGATAACCTCTTCTCTAGTCATGTTGATGACAAAGAGGGGGAGAAAGATTTGGATGCTGCTGTTGTCCCTACAACTGAATCTGAAGCTGAGGTTGTTGATGATACCATCACTACCCATGAAGCTAATGAAGCCAAGGTTGTTGATGATGCCATCAGAGCTGATGCTAAATCTTATGACGAAGACCTTCCTATCACCCCTGCAGCTGATGCTAGTGATGAGGAAGATGAAGATGAAAATGATGACGATGAAGATGACTCTCCATTCCTTTCTGACGCTGGAAAGGATCTCGATAGTGATGATGATGAAAACGACGATGATGAAGACTTCACGATTCAGTAGCACAAACCTGCCAGCGCTCTGAAAGGAGTCTCTCTTAGGGATTCTTCATCCGAGGGGGAGAAAGAGAAAGAAAAAGAGAAGGAGACTTCCACAAAGAACCAGAGCACCGCCTCAAAAAACAAAGATGTTGCTGAAGAAGGAAATCTTAAAGTTCTCTTCAAACCTGTCGTGCCTCAAGATACTGAATCCTCCAGGTTTGCAATAGTCACTTCCTTTTGTCAACTCTCTTCTTCTATCCCTTATACTACATGTGGTCGACTAGAGGAATGGGTATCTGAAAACGCAACCTCTAGTGTTCCTAACAACCAGCAGATCACTCAACTTAAGGAGTCACTCGACCAAACTAGACTAAAAATTCCTCTTCGTACCTCTAGTTGTGGTGAGTTTGACTTCCTATCTAAAGCTAAAAGACTCGAAGCACTCAAAGCTGAGGAAGAACTCAATCTTCAACGACAACAGATTGAAGACAGCCTAAAGTTGGCCAAGTCTCTTGTTGCTCAAGTTCTTGCACAAAAATCGTCTAAAAATATGGTGAACGTTGTCAAGGCCCAAGCTAAGTTGCTTTCAATTGTAGAAGCTGAATGTGAAAATGCAATGAAGCTAAACAACCGATACATAAAATGGAGTGAAGATCGTCTGAATAAGAGAATAAGTCCTCACCACATCTCAAACATCACAATCAATGGACGAATGAAAGATGGTGGACTTCTCATCTCCATTTTCATCACTAGAGACAACCTAGAAGTTGTCACAGAGTATCCTTCCTACACTGGACAATACGGCTACAGTGAATGGCTGGAAATCCGCCAAGCCATTTAGTGCTCAAAAAGTCAAGGCACAAGCCAATAATTGAAGAATCCTCAGCGAGCTGATCAAGAAGATGTCCAAATTTGTTGTTGTACCTACTAAGCCGACATTTAAGAAAGGTAAAAGAAGAAGACCTTCAGATCCTAACAATCGACCAACTTTAAGGAACGAACATGAAATAAAGTTCTCCCTGGAGGGAGTCCTGAAGGATTCGAAGAAGCCAGACATCGTTATGCTAAACCTCTCTTTGCCAGCGAAGGGTCCTTACATACCCAACACTATGCATATAAAGCCTGAGTTTATATTTATATTCCTTAACTATGAAGGAGAACACAACTTTCAGAGAGTGTCTGAGTTTAATCTTTGTCCTATAGAACATCTTGATTATCTAAGATATTGGGTGGACAATGATGTTTATGGTGAAATGATAGACCGCATGATCAGAAAAGAATTTATACGTTGAAATATGCTTGGAAAAGTACCTGGTTACATCGACTTCAGCGACTTAGATTAGTTATAAATTTATGTCTTGTAAATTTTATTTTTCATTGTAAGTCTTATTTTTCTATATCTTTTCTTTCAGTGTACAATTTATATGTAATAAGTCTAGAATGTACTGACTGAAACACTTGTAATTCTCCTTTGATTAATATAAGTATTTCATCAGCATCACTAAAAAAACCCTAAAAAGAGTAATATGGACACATGTCTATGAGTTCCAATATGCTCTTACAGTCACTGACAATCTTCAGTCAGTGAACATGCTTTCAGTTTCAGTTTCCCTTTTTGTACTTTATCTTAAACTTGTAACTTAAGAAAACTTATATAGTAAAAACTGTATCACTGAAAAAGATCCCAAAATAGTTAAAAGGGACATGTACTTTATATGTAACTTTTACTTACTATTAAACCTTAATGAAATTTTTTATTTATGTTGCTTTGTCATCATCAAATAGGTTATCTCATTGATTTGATGATACTCTCTTTTACCTTTCGAAGTATTATTGTTTTTGGCCTTTCAGTTCCAACGATCATCACCGAGTATGTTCAATGATCATTGAAACATGCATTGTAATCCTACAGCGACAGTGATACTTCAAGAAAACAAAACTCATACCCAAGAACGTTCAGTGAATGTTGAACACTGAAACTGAAGATTAGTGACTGGCGCGTTCGTGATCTGAAGCGGTATTCAGTGATTACAACCTGGCAACATATGTGTGAAGACTGCACAAGCCTCAGTGAATGTTGAAGAGACCTCCAGCATTATTCCAGCATTCAGCGATCAAATGAAGCTTGCCATTCACGATTGTTTTTGTCTTATCCTTCCACACACAAAGGACAAACCTATACCCTTTAAAGAGTATAGTACTGCATGGAGCCGACTAGTCGACTCTAGTGCCCACCAACTCCATGAAAGGATGTCTACTCATGAATAGACAATAGTACTATTATCTGTTGCAAAAGACAAACTTTCCTCTTAAAGCTTGAGGCGTATTCTAACCCATCTGAATTGCATTTAATGCAATATGTTAGACCCCATCACTCATTTCTGTAAATGTAATGAAAAACACAAGTGTGAAAGAGCAGAAGGCCGATGGAAGACTATCAAACAAAAAGTCTAAGTGCTCAATACAACCAGAGGTGCGATGAACTGCACATCTCTATAACCTCTCTGGTTACCAACACTTGGAGTTTGTCTCAACAGTTCAACCAGAGGTACACAATGAATAAGATCACAAGACATGGTTGAACACTCCCCTTAGAAGACAGCTGGAGATGGCAAATCGACAGCTGGATTCTCCATTCCTTACTTAGCTTTATTTACTTTCCATAAGTCTAGATTGCTTTCCTTTCATAAGGGATTTGCTAAATATCTTTCATAGATAGCAATCTCCATAATTAGATTACTAGTACAAATAGGCTTTACCTTTCATGTAATCCTTTATGCTTTTTCCACAAATCATTTGAACAAAAGTGAATCATTCGGCACTCAATCATATTCTTGAATATTCTTATTTGTGTTCTTAAGTGTTCTTCACTTTTTCCATCTACACAATATATTTAGGTTATTCATAACTTGAATATTAGTGTTATTGAGAGATCTGGGATCAACAATTGGTATCAGAGCTAATTGATTGTTCTTCAATCAAAACGATCAAATTAAAATCTCTCAATTCGTTTTTTATCCATTTAAATTCATAATCTTCTTCTCCAAAAAGCGTATTTTCTTTCTCTTCTAAATCTCTAATAGCCAACTGAAAGTCTGCATATACTGTGGGTTCCCTCACCAAACCTCCAACTTTTCAAAGAGAAGAGTATCCACAGTGGAGAATAAGGATGGTGAAATTCCTGGAGGGGATGGACAGGAATCTCCTCAGATCTGTCATGGAAGGACCTTATGTTCCTCAGACTCTTGTTCCAAGAGTCCCTGGAACAAGCACTATTATAGAAGTTGTTGTTTACTACATGCCCAAAGATGAAAAGAACTGGGACGAGAATGACCTTGAGCGTGTAGAGGCAGACAGGAAAGCTAAGAGGTTGATCCTTATGGCCATTCCAAACGACATCTTCCAATCTCTTGATGCTTGTACAACAGCAAATGAGATATGAGATGAACTGGCGAGACAACTAGAAGGGGGTGCAAAAATGAAGAAAAATCGTAGGGCACAATTCCTCAACGAATACACAAATTTCAAGGCTCTTCCTGATGAACCGATTCAGAAGACTTATGATCGTTTCAACACATTGATCAATTAATGTCGCAGAAATGACATCTCTAGGACGAAAGAAGAAAACAACGTTTTGTTTATCAAAAGTCTCGGTGATGAGTGGACTGAGTTGTCGATGTCCCTCCAAGCAAATTAGGACTTAGATAGTTGGTCGCTTCATGACGTCTATAGAACTCTTGCTGCATAAGAAACGGACATAATAAAGAGGAAAGTGTCCATCGGCGGACCTCTTACCCTTGCTGCAGAAGAAAAAGAAGTTACAAGGACCTGCACTAGAGATCACAGAAGGAAAAACAAGAAGGAATTAGTGGTAGAGTCAGAATCCGAAGAAGAGTCATCCGATTCTGATGATGATCTCAAAGATTTTGCCAAATCTCTGGCCTTGATAACCAAATAGTTCCAAAAGAAGTTTGTCAAGAAGCCGTATGAAAGAAGAGACTCCCTAAGGGAGAAGTACCAACCTTCATATGATCAGAAGCCGATGAAGTTCCATCGAAAGGAAGAAAGAAGAGAGGGAAGAGAAGAAAGAGAGGACATAAGAAAAGGAGACGGTAGGAAAGATGGTCTTTGCTACTACAGATGCGGGAAGATATGACATTTTTCGAAAGAATGTAGAGGACGCCTGGTGAAGGATGCTGATTACTACAAAAATAAATACAAGTACAATCCGAAGGAGCGAAGCCTGTTGGCTGAAAAAGAAAATTGGGTGTCCGACTCTTCGTCTGATGAAGAAGACAAGGCACCCATATGCCTCATGGCCTCGTCCAATGCAGAATCTGCCTCTGACTTTGATGATCAGGTATGTGATCCTTCCATCGATGAAATCAACTCTGCTCCATCAGAGCTAGAGTTAAGGGTCATGAAACTTTCAGAAGATTTTCTTAAACTTAAAGAAAAATTAAATTTTGAAAAATCTGAAAGGATAAAAGCTGACAAGGAAGTCAGTTTCTACAAGAGAGAGACTGATCTTCTCACAGAAAAAAAGTTGAATTGGTAAAAGAAAAACTCGCATTGCATCACTTAAAAAATCAGAGGAAGAAAAACTTTTGGATCTAAACAAGAGAATAACGAAAGATTTAGTATAAAAGGTAAAAGCCTTAAAAGAATCCGAGGCAGAAAGGCTAAATTCAGTGTCTCTTAAGGACTTCTTCCAAAAAGAAAGGGAGACTCTTCATCAAAAGCTTCAAACCAATGAACTCCTGATGAAGAAATACAAAGATGCCCAAGACGTCTATGAAAAACTTAATGGTCAAAAGAATTACCAAATGATCTAGACTCTTTCTTCGAAACCAAGAAATCCACCCTTGAATCCACTTTCAAACGTGGATGTATTCAAAAACCCGACTTTTTTCCAAAACCCAAAGCAAACTTCAAAAGGGTTAAAGTCGATGGAAAAACTATACTCTTGAGGCAGGACATTGAAAATGTGGTGTATGAGAGCAGCACATGTAAGAATTCTGA